CGTTCCATAGATGGAGAACAGCATGTTTTCTTACCTGGTGGCCCTGGTCAGCAAGCTAAAAGTCATGCTCCACTACAGGTTTGTCTCCTTGTGGAAGAAGGAGGAGTATGTTCTAGCAACCCCCTTGGACTTTGGAATTAATTATACAGAGGGCAATGGATATTAAACAGCATCAAGAAGGGAGGGCAATGCCACCCAACTTTTCATTACATTCAGTAGCAGCTAGTGAATAAAGTTTGGCTAGCACTGAGATGCCACAAAGAACAGGAAGAAACTAGCCATGTTTAAATACAACTAACGGTTGTATTCTATAGTCCCTCTCTCCTTCAAAAACAGGGGAAACTTTCTGATACACTGTGGGGTTCAGGCAAGCCCTCCTGCTCCTTAGGATCCTCCCATTGTCCAACACCATCAGACTATGACTCCACTTTGCTATCAAAAGATATATTAGAATTATTCAACTCAGGCTCTTTTGTATCTTTAATAAAGTGGGAAAAAAAGTTCCTCATTCAGGTTTCAGGTCTATTTTGTGGCAACTTCATAGTCTGTGACATAATTCTTTTAACAAATAACCAACCAGCAACAAGAAGTCTTTCACAACAAGAATTGAAGCTACATCTCTTTCAGCAAAGGGGCTCACTTGTGAAGGATCCATCCCACACCTGATTCCCAAACCCTCTTGCCCAGATCTCTCCTGACTCAGGGTGGTAGCTGGGTTTTCCCAGGTTTGCTCCCAGGGGAACTTAGACATCTTCTGTTCTCTTGATTTTTGGGCTCCCTCTTTCTCCAGTATGGAAGCTTTCTCACTGCATGCTCCCACCACTCTCTCTGGGCTTCGTCTCTGGGCTAACCCTCTCTACTTTGAGAGTTACCCACTCCCCCGACCATCGGTCCACTTTCACAATTTCAACCACTCCTCTTTCCCCTTCTCTTCTGCTGCTGCTACCCACCAACTGTCTTCTGAAGCAGTGGCCCTTTTCCCTCCACACACACCCTTCTTATCTTCCCTTCCAAAATTGCTCCCCTTTCTGGCTCTTCATTTCCCAGGCTTTCTACTTCTTCCATATTCAAATTCCAACTGGCCTCCATTCTCCTTGTCAGTCCTTTCATCTCAGCCTCTGTAATGTCCATGCCTTCCTCCAGAGGAGACAGCACACCTCCTCCTTCTGCTCATGTCTCAGAGACACTATGTTAACAAGCATGGCAGGGGCCTGTCCTCCAGAAACAGCACTCCTGAGGAAGGACATAGCAGGGGCAGAGATAGAGATGTACCTCTAGGAGCCCTGCAAGCCAACAGGAAACACCCCTTTTCTTCTTGGGCTGAGAAGTCTTTTTGGGAAGGTCTGGCTAAGGTGGCCATGGGACTGCTGGATTGCCCACCAGCTAGTGTGCCCAGTGAGAGTGTTTCTCTCAGGCAAGTGACACTGTCAGTTGACACCACTCACACCTGGAACCTGGATGTGTAAAAAAACGTATTTTCCTTAAGGTCAACCTACCATTGCTGGGCTTCCCTGAATTCCCCTTTAAGTAAGAGAGAATGGCACACTCTGCTCACAGTACTGTATTAGTATGCCATGCTCCAGTCTACCGTAAGACAGTGCCTTCCATCCCAGAGAGATGGTTCAGCAGAATACTATGGTCAATGGTATTGAAAGCCACTGTGAGGTCCAGTAAAACCTACAGGGACACACTACCTCTGTCCGGTTACCAACATAGATACTGTAATCTACCAAGGCAACCAGAGCTGCTTCTGTCCCATAACTAGGCCTGAAGCCAGATTGAAATGGACCTAGATAATCCATTTCATTCAGGAATCCTTGGAGCTGAGAAGCCACCACATGCTCGAATAACCTTGGCCAAAAAAGGGAAAATTGGAGACTGGCCAAAAATTCAAGGAGGGATTTGTCAACAAAGGTTTTACAGCTGCCTCCTTGAAGAATGCTGGCAGGCTAACTTGCTGCAAGGAGGCATTTAGCACATCTACCCACTTCATCCCCCCTCCTTCTGGCTGCTTTATAAACCAGGAAGGACAAGGATCCAACTCACACATGCGGTGGTCTTCCTCTCTGTATTGCTCCATTATTATACTGCCTTTACTGGCTCCTGATATGTTCTAAGCTCAAGTCAAAGTGTTAAATGGCTTGGGACCACAATACTTGTGGCGTTTGGGCTTCAAAGCACTCTGCCCCATAAAATCCAGTTCACCATCTCTCCTTCCATAGGAAGGTGTGGCAGGCTGATGCTAGCAGTATAGCTTTTAATTAAACATGCTTCATTGTGCTTAGGGGTTGTATCTCAGCTGGTAGCCTCAGTAAGGTGCTATTCACTGATTAGCCCATTTTGTACCAAATAAGATTAATAAGACTCTTCCACATTTCAGTAATGGAAATGGGCACCATCCTTCATATAATGGCTTGTAATAACAGCATAGTTTTCATCTCCAAACTCCAGGTACTACTGATGTACTCTCATCTTTTGTTTTCAAGGCTTATGAGCACAATAAATTAAACTTTTGTGCATATTGGCAGGAACTAAGTGCCATTCCAATAAACAGAACTTACAAAGAAGACTGGACTGTGAAGTCTCACATAACTCATAGGAAATGAGAACTGTTTCCTTTTCAGAAGACAGAATACGACAGAGTTTGTCTATAGTTTTGCAGTGGGCACAGTACCAAAATGTCTTCCCATTAATTTCCATCTCTTTCTTATGTTTTTGTTCTTCCCTTTTCTTGTTTACTTGTAAGAATCATGTTCATCAAAAGGAGGAACAAAAACAGAAACAGACTCTAAACTTGTCAGTTCCTTGATTGAAGTATCTTGAATTTTTTTTTCAAAACTGTTTGGCCTAGTTCTAAATAAAGGCTTCTAGCTTGCACCCCTATTTCTTTACTTGAGAAGTCTGATAGAGAACAACCCAAAAGAACAACATAAAAGATGGGATGAGGACAGGTTGATGGCTGATGATTTTGTAATATGTTACTATAATTCTGGAAGAATAGTCTCAGTGGCTTTACCATAATTACCAAAACAATACATACTGAATGTTATTTTTTTTTTCTGTTTGTAACCATTGCTTCTCTTCCATTTTGCTATTATTTGAACCTACACGTTATGTGTATTCCAAAGCGCATAGGGAATTCCACATGCACAAGGAAGTCTGTAGGCCCACAGAAATCAATGGGGAAGGCCACTTCTGCATCTGTCTCACAAGAGAGGATGGAGGAATAGATGCAGGACTGGTGCAAGACATTTGCTGCCTACAAAAAAAGCAACAAAGAGTTCCACCCACCCACTTCAAGCCAGCCAAGTTATTTTGTCACAGGAGACACAATATCCTACTTCTTCCCATCCCTGTCACTGAAATAGTCTGCCGGGGATCCAGGCACCCAAAATTTGCTGCCTGAGGAGGCTGCCTGCTTGACCCTGCTGGAGAAAACTATACACAATGTTAGGTTCGAGTTCTGAAATTCAAAGCACACACACACCCAAACCCTTTTTTCACTTACAAATCCAAGCATCCCAATTCACTGAAACAAATCACGTTTGAGTTGCAAGGATACCAATGTGGGGATCGCCATCAAGGTCACGTTACTAGTGATGTTGTCAATGAATTGCTTGTTACTTGTGTATCCGGTGCCCATATAAACACCTGCTGTTGTATCACCCTGTGCTACAGCAGGCAAGCAGAGGTGGCCGGTCAGATTTATAGCTACTGCTGTCCCTGGTGGTGTAAAGAGAGCTTGTTTTCGTCGATCAAGAGACACCACAGAAGTGTTGAGCCTGAAACAATGCATTCTAATGACTACAGAATTAGATTTCCACCCCTGCCCTCATCAAAGTTTATTATAGGCCCTGTAACTGCCACAGGAGCCCCAATAAAATCGCACGCAGAGAGCTGGTGGGGGGGGGGAGAAGAGGTGGATTGCGTTGGAACAGGTTGGCTGGGTGACAGAATGGGAGGATCATGCGCACAGAGAGGGCAGCGTCAATACCGGAGACAGCAGCGTTTGCAGTTTTCTCTATTTCAGGAGCTAAAGCGAGGAGGAAGGAGCCTGGGAAGATGGGAAGGTGCAGGAGGAGGGAGGGGGGGAGAACCCGCGGATGGGGCGAAGCGGGGCGGCTCGAGCAGGATGAATGAGTGATGGATCGGGGTTGGGCCAGCGAAGCGGAGCCGGAATACGGAAAAACACCCCCAGCATCAGAGGCAAGGAAGAGGCAGAGTCGAGCTGGGTGGCCCGGCTGCAACGTTA